ATACATGGCATGCATACAGAGTGTATATGTGCTGTAATCAGACTGCAGCACACGCACACGGTCCTCTGTGACCACTCAGAAGGGCTCGAGGTCAGTCCATCCATGCCCAGACCCTGCATATGAGATGTTTTAATGTGACATATGCTGCCTTGTAGAAACCCGCTTCCAGTGAAATATGAAGTGCATCCATGCAACATTTTGCTGGCTTGTAAATGGGGAAAAAATAAATCTAACTACATTAGAGTGCGGGCAACAATTATGTCAGACTGAGGCTAAGTTTATGGGTCAAAAATTAATCAAAGACAGCTTGAGCCAAGCAAAGGCTGACTCTTGCCTCTTCGTGTTCTTTTTATATTTGAAATTCACTCGATATCCTCAGTTTGACTCTGTCTTGCTGGCATATGTCTTTGGTTCATTTGGAAGACAAATGCTTGATTTCCAAATTTTTCCTAGTCTCAGTAAACTGTGCACATTGTGAACAGCAGATGAATTAAGTGTTTCATCGATTAGAGGGAAATAATTTCATTGTAGGATGAAGAGAGCTCTTGCTGGACTCCACCCTTTTTTTCCACTGAAGCTGGAAATCGAGCTGCTTCCTGTTCTGGTCCGGACATCAGCACTTAACACAGAATTATTCCCAAAACTGACAGCATTATCTTCTCGGACACAAAACTCCCTTTAACTTTTTGTGTACTCGTCGGAGGAGAAAAAGAGAGATAGGGATGAAGACATCATGTGAAACCCACTCTGAGTGCTTCCTGGCTGCAGGCGAGACTCTGAGGGTGTTAGGAGGAATTTATGGGAACAGGCTGCAAATTAATTGTAACTACCAATGCTGTGGAGTCTGTTTGTTTATGCCTAGAGGTTTTGAGTGGAAAAAACATGTGAGACCATTAATTTTCTATCTTAGGAAAGAGTTTTACAGTATGTTGTTATCTATTTAGAGCAGGACATTTAACTGAGAAACCTATATTTCTAGAAAGAGCAGCGTTTGTAACATGTGACCAGATCATAAGACTAAGGCTCTTTGAGGTTTAACTAACTGATATTTAAAGGTAAATAAACGATGCCAACTCTTTGGCCATTTGATCATTTGACCATCCCAGACTGATGAATTGCACATACTGTAGTAAACTGCATGTATGAAAAATATATATAATGTGCAATAATCTGCCTTTGACATCGACGTTAGTTCAGGACAACCCTCACAAGTGAGGCTGAGTTCAATTTACCATTCTTAGTCTCTTGTTTTAATTAAAGATAACTTCAATAAACCAATACTACATTTTACAAGTTAGGTGTATTTTCAGGTGTATTACATCATGAGTGTTCCTTCCAGCATATCTCTGTACCCTTCTCCGTCTCAGCTCTGGTAATTACCAGCTACATTTTCTTCCTAATCTTGGACATAATAAGAATAATCTGCATAAATACCTCAAATTAGACGTTTATTCCCACTGATGAATTTAAGGCCTTCATAAAAAATCTGTTGATGGAGGCATATGGTTTGAATGAATTGTTTGAAAAGTATAGTTTTTTGTTTTATTTTGGATTAATGTATATTACCTTGTATTTCAATATGCTGTTATCTTGTACAGCTGCTACCTTGGCCTACCTTGATAAAATAAAATGAGAAAATTTGCACTGATTGGAAATGTGGGTAAATTTAGTCTGTTAAAGCTTCACTTATTCCAGGAACACTGAGGTCATTCCTCAATGGACAACAATGGACACATGCAACAATTACGTCAGTCTGCCACTTGCAGAAAATAATAATGAATAAATGGGGCAGTTGTGGCTGAGGAGGTAGAGCTGGTCATCCACTGTTTAGAAGACTGCCGGTTTGATCCCCGGCTCCTCCCACTGCATGTTGAGGTGTCGTTGAGTAACCTTAAGATACTGAACCCCAAATTGCTCTAACTGCTGTGTGAATGTGTGTCAACAGGATTAGTTTCTGTTTCTGATGAGCATTTGGCAACCTGCATGGCAGCCTCCGCTATCAGGGTGTGAATGGGTAAATCTGACATGTAGGTTAAAAGTGCTTCGGAAGAGAAAAGACCCGTTATATATGCAGTCCACTTAAATGAGTCAAAAGATATAATTCAAACCTAAGAATTAACACACCTCACTATAGAGTGAAAATACAGAGCTGATGATGAGTAATGATGTGTGCACAACTTGCCAAACTGAGTCATAACTTCTTAACTGGATAAACCAAGTTAACAAAACACTGAAATGGGTCATTGCATAGCAGCTATTGCAGCAGGGATAAGACTGCAAAAAGAATTATTGTGCTCCACATAGCAGACAGCAACAAACCGAATGGAAAATTAATACATTTCAGGTTCAATCTTCCAGAGAAGACTTTAGACCAGATACAATATTTTGTGACAATATGATACCTTTAATAAATGTTCATATGATTATAGAAAAACGTTTTACAAAATAACTGCAATTTTGAGAATGAAACCACCCAGACTGAAGGGGGGTAAACAAGGCAACTGCCCTACACTTACATTTTTTTTTTTTAATTAGCACTGATTAAGTACAAGTAGCATTAAACTAGAAACACTCAAGTAAACTACAGGGATCTCAAAATTGTACCTAAGTGTAGTTCTTGAGCAAACGTACTTAGTTACAATACATTCTGGTAAAGTCACACAGGTCAAGATCAGATTTCATAATATAGTAAGGGTGGAGAAGGGCATGCTGATCACATCACTTCCTTTTCTGTTACTTCCATTGTCCCCCTGTAGAGTTGCACAATGAGTCCTCAGCACAACTCCCTTCCTGAACCCTGGACAACACGCTAGGACCTGCTTTCATATTCCTCCATGCAGTACATCACTGCTGGTGTGGCCAGGATCTTCCCTGAAAAAGCCTCACTGTGTATGAGCTCACATGGGCAGGGACAGACAGGGAGTACCTGTGTAAGGACTCCTTTGGCCATGAGCCGTCAAAGGTGTCGTCATGTCTGCATCACTACAAAGAAAAGTGGGGCGGACCATTTATAGGAAGCAGTTCACCAAAAGTGTGGATCATAAATGAACAAATACTTTAAATCAGTAAAGTAAAGCAAAGTACATACTTGCAATATTATGATTTAATTTGAATGTGCATGCATGGACTAAGTAGCTTTAATAGGAAACACATTTCAATCTGTTCTGCAATAAAACCAAAGGTATGTTTCATATGCTTATCTGTTACCTTCACATTATTGATTAAGAGGTTTAACCCCTGACTGAGCTTGTCCTCTGACCTTAAAAAGTAACTTAACACAGGTTGAAAGAGAATCTGTAAGTTTCAGATGGTTCTATTTATTGTCTGGTGCAGGTGAAAATTGATTATTTTATTGTCATCTTCATTATAAATACATAAATGCCACATTACAAATCCATAAAGTTGAGAGTTGTTCATCTATTACTGTTTCTGGTTGTTGTTTACATTCACAGATGACAAACTGAATACTCAAATAGAGACTTTACAAGATAGTGGCTACAGCTCAATGCATCATGTAGCAGAGGTCAAAAGTTCAGCCCACAGAGGTCAACTTTACTTTACCTTAGAGAGGTAATAGTAATAATGAGGCACTGTTGTGTGCAAATATGTGAAAACCCAGTATGACAATGGCACATGTGTATGAAGTATTGGCATGTGCTCTAAATACTTAATGCTAAGCTGAGGCTGAAAGTTAATTCTCGACCTTGAAAATAGTGTGATACGGTAAAAACCTCCAGAACAGCCACTAATGGACCTTGTGGTGAGGTTGTTTTGAGAAACACTTCCTTGGATACCCATTAATCCACAAAATCAGGGGTAATTATCAGAATACATAGTGAATCTTTTTAAACATCTAATGAGGTTTTTTGGGCATTATTCCTAACAATTACAGTAACACACTACTCCTAAACCCCAGGGCATGGCAACATTATTAGACTAGAACAAGTTAGGGCCAGACACATGAATGGTCAAACACGCTGTAAATCAACATCTGAATCCGAAGACGGACAGGGTAATAATTAACATTCACCTTTATGTTCAACTTCCAAATAAGTTGACTAGATAATGCTAAAACTGGGAATTTATTTACGACATGTTTACTCACAACATGACCTATTGGACTCTGTAACAGAACTGAAAATCATCCTCCATCAGACCAGGGTCACAGCCAGCATAAAGAACAACGAGAACACTTTCTTAGTATTTCTTTTTTCTTCTTCTGGGAATTATGTTTTAATAACCTGGGGGCAGTGGCGGATGCAGGCTATCTGGAGAGCAGGGCGGAAAACCAGCTGTATGCAGAAAGTTTCGATCCACACTCTTTTCTAACATGTATGGCAGCTCATAGGGCACTGCGCCATGTTTTCTCTGCTGGAACTGCACCCTAGAGTTCCCAAATGTTTTCATGACGCCAACAATAGATGCACATTAGCCTGCAGACCCTCAATTTGAAAGGATTTTGTCTTAAGGAATCCCTTCAGAGTCTTTTTATTTTATTTTTATGTTGTCAATCATTCATCAAACTGGGATCACTGTAAATTAAAAGTTCTGGGGTGCTTTTTTATTCCTGCCAGCAAATGTGAAGTACACATGCAAATTGTATAAAAATCAATAAAAAGAGCCAACCCTATTTCTTACCTTCCAAAAATGTGATAAAAGTTAAAATACTCTTTTAAAATACTTTTTCCTTTTTACTGGGGACCTCCCCTGTCTGTCCCTGGACCTGTACCTTTCGTCCACTGGAAGGCCATCTTAGGGGCATTTTATCATCTTGTGTGACCACCGTGGTGGCGGGGAGGTGCATTGTTAAGCATAGTGAGGAATTTATGGATTTATTACAGTATTTTTAAATTCAATATGTTTAAATTAAACTACTTTCATTGTGTGTGTGTGTGTGTGTGTGTGAGAGAGAGTGTAGGTGAGGGGGGTGTTGTTAACAGGGGCGGGGCCAGATGACGTGGTGGTGGTTGCAGTGTAGCTAATGTGAATGCAGACGGAGCAGCTGAGGATGGAGCAGAGAGGGAGAAGCGCCGCCGCTGCACTCTCACACCGCGGGCAGCAGACACCTTTAAAACAGCCCTTCTACATCTAAGGACCTCCCTTTAATTCACACACAGACTCTCGGCTTCTTTTTTTCCATTCATCTCAAACGCTGACATCTCTTCCACTTCACCCCTCCGTCTGTCAACACACCGGCTGCGACTGTCTGTCAGCGGGGGAAAGCCAAAGACAGTCCCGTTGAAAAACACTCAGAAAAACACATCACGATACAGGTTTGAGCCGGACGCACCTTCTGCCGGACTGTCACTGCTTCAATCGATATGGATGAAGACAATCACGGTAAGGCTGTTTTTGGTTTCCTCCCCCCCTCCCGAGCCCGTGTGCAGGGAGGGATGAACGGCATGGATGGATGTGTGTGAGTCAGGGCACAGAGACATTATGTTGTGGTTATTTTTGCAGACCTACCTAGAAAAGCAGAGTGCGTTGTCATGATTTAAAACCTGACAATAAAGGAGCAATTCACAGAAATACAGAATCATGTATAGAAACACTGAAGTCCTGGTAAAAAAAAAACAACAACAAAAAAAAAACCCCCCAAAGACTACAATTTCATGCATGCACCTTTCCAATGTGTTTGATGTCTTGCTGCAGGGCTTTGAAGTTGCTGTATCTCCTTGCGCCGTTTGAAGCTTTTAAACTGGTGGAAATTGATAAGATATCTGACTGGCAGCCTTTCATGGCAGGATCTACATCATTTCACTCAAATATAGAAAAAAAGGAAGAAAAACAAGTACCTATAGCAATGTTTGAGTTATATAGTGATCGACAGGAGATAAACCCACTAAAAATGATGATTATTGTGGAAAATATATGTGCAGTAACATGGAATATTATAGATGTAGCAGAAATAGCAGTAAAAACATCACTTTAGATGTACTACACTGTAGAAAACAGAAGAATATAAAGAGAGGAAGTGATTTTAAGGACAATAAGGCAGCTAACTAAGTAACAAAGTGATACTGTAGTTTGAGGCTAAATGTCCCATTGGGCTATAATTACTCACCAGTAATTATCAAAGGAGTCATTGACGGTAAAAATAAATTGACCTAAGAGCATTTAGTGCCACAGACCTTAAGTGTGATTTAGTGATAAAGCTGAATGAAGTGAACCTGTGCAGCTGCATGTCTCACCCGGATTACTGCTCACATGGTGGCTGCAGCTCGGAGGCTCATATCAGTTATTATATGATACTAGCGCTGAAACACACATGCAGTATGCTTCGGAACAGATAATCCAAACCGCCTTGTGGGTTGAAGGCCTCTAAGGCAGTGTAGTGTAAACAAATGGAGGTAGTCTGATAACAGTTTGTCAGTTAAACTGTGGGAGATTAGCAGAGCCAGGAGAGACCCTCATCTGGACTTCCACATTAGTCTGAACAGTCTGAATGTATGTGGACCAAGAAGCTTTGCCCCGAATTTGAATGGAAATAGGAATTAGACAGTTTGACCTATTTCATTGATCTTAATTTATACTTGTGCGTGCAGGGGCTATGGTAACAGAATCTAGTCCTTAAACAGGCATAGCTTCCTATAATCCTTATATCATTAAATACATTTCAGTATATTATGGGGGGATTTCCATTTGCTATCGGACAAATTACCATGAAATTGATACTGGGCATACTAAGAAGAAGGGAACTAAGAAGAACCCTTTATATTGTGTACACCTCATTAGTTTTAGTCCAGTTAAACAAGAAGTCAACTTTGCATACACAGTATCTCATTTATTTTATGTGTGTCAAAGTATGTCATCATGGTCCAAATGTTGTTTGTCTTTGTAACTTAAACCATGTGGATGCCATAAACAGAGGGCAAAATGAACTGTTTTGTCCACCAGTCAAATGGCTAGTGAATGTTTAAATGTTACCAGCCACTCAGTACTAACTCATTTTGTTCCCTAGCCATAAATGTTCCCTCAAAAATGAGGTAATCGCATGTTCTACCAGTGCACCCACCATATATGAGGCCGGTCAAAGAGATACCGGTCACTGAATCACGTGACAGGATGTCAGAGAGCAGCAGAGGCCCACTGTCTGTGATCAAAGTGGAAACATATGACAGAAGCTCAGAGAGATTACGTGCAGCTCTGTGCAGTGTGTGAATTACTAAAATAACTTACCATAAATGTTAAAGTAATTAAGAGCATTCTCAGTGCCTCTTGACGTCTTGCACACATCACTTAACATTGTTCACATGCACACCTCGATACGCCGGTATCACAGCGCAGGCGGTTAGTGCTAAATTTGTCACTTACAACAATCAAAGTCGAAGTTACACCCTCTTCAAGAGTAGTGTGTCTACTCACTAGTGAATGGTGTCATGTAAATTTCAGGAGTGACATTCTCCAGTTAAAAAAATCTTCCCTTTGGACTAAGTAGCTCATGTAAAATGTCAGATGTAGTGGTCTACAGCTGTTACTTGTGTGTTCAGATACATATTCAAACAGCATTTAGGTAAATAAAAGTATCACATCAGAGTCAAAATTAAAATCTTGATCATGACTTCACTACAAACCTCAGAAGACTATGAACAAAACTTACGCTGTCAAAGCCATTTCTGGGGACCTTTCAGCTCAGTGGCTGTGAATCCATCCAATGATGAGCTCTTCTTTTTAGAGTTCTGGGGAGCTTTTTTGCATGCCAGCAAATGATTGTCCTCGTGTGTGTACATTAGGGACTGTGTTCTCACGCCTGTATGTGAAGTACGCATGCAAACCGTATATTCTATATGTTGTCGGGGCTATAATTTGTTCTGCACCAGTGAACCAATCAACAGAGAAAAGAGCCAACAGATGCTCTTTAGGATTAATAAATGGTATATAAACGGATAAGACTCCCACAAACTGCCTCTAATGAAGCTGAAAGTCTGTGTGCGGAGGGGAGCTGCATTTGGGTGATCAGAGTTACTGATTATCCTGGGTCCCAATCCAAGGAAATGACAGTAAAGTTTCTGAACTAAGAGGCCTTTTGTAGATTACGAGTGTACATCGGTGTACTAAATATTCAGGCTTGAAATTTGCAAATAAAACCCAACAAAAGTGCGTAATAGACCCGCTGATCCACTAGAGGATACCATGTCAGTGTCATGATGTGCCTCACCTAGATGTGCAAGTACACGCATGTATGAAGGTGCAGTGTAGAAAGAAGGTCAGGGTCGATGGATGGGTCAATCAAACATAAGATGTTCACCCAGGAGACCGCTGTTCGAGGCCCCTGTGAAACCAGAAGTCAACATTGATTTGTCAGGTACATAACGTAACTTATGACCCTTCCGAAACCTAACCAAACTGTGACCTTTATTTTGAAAGTCTAATCGGATGTTACATATTTATTCCTAACATTAGAGGCACATCAGATCAGTATGGCCCATCATTGGTGCTTGAACAAGGGGAGACTAATCTGCAGATATTTCTCAGCTAAACTTAGCTACACACTGAATGAAACCATAAACTGTGCCACTGCGCATTGTTTGCGGGACTCAGCTGTAGTATGGAATTCATTAGTACATGTTTACTGCGCTCACTAATCAGAGTTGGCGCTTCTTGCTCAGTTAACATGCCACTGAGCAGACAGGGCCTGGCCTCAAAATGGAAGAAAATCAGCAACAGGCTTGAACTCCGAAGTGTTTTTATTACTCATGTGTCTGTTTTTAGCATCATTGTATAGCTGGATGGAGAAGTGGAAAGAACACAGAAGCAGAAATTGGCTGGAAAGCAGTTCACTGAACGGCTGGATGGAGGCCATGGATTTTAACACTTGGCTTTCTCTACTTTATAGCAGCTTTGTGATGCTTCAGTCAAGGGATTAATATAGACTGAGTAAATGGCCGTTTTGGGAGTTAGGGGTATTAAAATGCTAAAATGGGTAGAATTCACCTTTTAAAAATTCCTTGCGCCTGAATAAAGATGTATGTGACAACTGAGGCCCCCTAAACAAAACATGTCTTGTTTTTGTAGGTTCAGACGCCACAAAATGTGCTAAAATGTTTGTTTATGGGGTCCTGTGAGGTTTCCTTGATTATATTTCCCGTGTAAGTGCAGTGATAACCCCACTGTGTCAATCGACACTCTTCTGTCTATCTGACCGTGGGAAAAGCTGAATGGGAAAGTCTTTTCCTTCAATTCTTCTGCTCTCTTCGGACTGAATGTATGAGAGTGTGCTAAAACAATATATCCTATCTGACTGCAGCGCTACTGTTTTGTCTGTTAGGTTTTGTTAATGGGGGACACACTGTCTGAGAGCAGAATCATAAGTGCTCACCTTGGCTTTTCTGATTGTTCTTCTCTTGCAATGAAATATCAAAAGAAAATTTAAATGGTGCCTTTCTAGTCTGAATTCTTTTGTAATTATCTCCTCAAACTTAATGGACTTCTGACTGTATGCAATTATTTCATATCACATTCACCCCAGTAGGCATGAAACCCAAGCTAAGGTGGCTTTTAGAAAGCCCGAGTCAACGTACTGGATGTGTAATTTCTTGGCATTTAGTACTGCAGTTCTGAGGGGGATCAGTCGGTATGAGGGGGAAGTTGGTGTGATTAGGGTACGGTCTTTGTTGTGGCTGTAGGGTGAGTGTGTGGGAGGACATCAGAGAGTCACTAGAGGCGAGCTGTGGCTGCTCTCTAGCTATACTTCGCCCTGGGAGGCTGGCGGGCTTATTGTAAGTGGCTGGTGCTGAATGGCTAGACAGCAGCACCAACAGAGCTCAGACATCTGTGTCTCTCTGCTTCTGCATGTTAATGTCACCCTGTAGATGTGCTGCATGTGGAATCTGCTTATTGCTAAAATGCATAAAACGACCGTCATAGTAGTTGATAGATAGAAGTTAATCAGCAACTGTTAGTAATTTTTTAAAGCAAAAAAGACAGAAGATACACTAGAACCAGCCTCTCAAAATGAATATTTTCTGGTTTTATTAGTCTTCTATGACAGTAAACTAAATATATTTGGGTTTTTGCATGTTGATTAGACATTAATCTCTCTAATTAATCAAGAAAAAATTTTAATAGTTGATCAATCCATAATTAGTTGTAGCCTAAACGTAATCTTTTCAAGAATGTAAAGCAAAGGCATCATCATTGCCTGTGTAATAAAAACACAGGTGATGATGTGGTTAGTATTTTCCCTTCAGTATTAACTTTGTAGAAAACCCTGGGGGGAAAAAGACTTAAAGACTTGAGGAAATCTGTTTGAAAAACATTAAAACATGAAATGTTTAGATAGATAAGTAAAAAAGAAAGAAGAAGAAGCCTAAAATCAGTTCCACAGTTGTTCAGACATC